AATCCTCAGCATTACTGGGTAGGGATCTTTTGAGAATTATTTCTCTGCGAATCTGATATGGATTTCTGAGCCTGCATCCAGCCCTGTTGAATCTTTGCTGTTCTCACCTCTTTCCAGAAGCCAAAGCTTTGCAGAGTAAAATTGGGAGTCCTCCTTACTGCTGTGGCTCAGAGGAGTGCTAAGACATTCCTTTCTGGGTTGCCAAAATGCAAACACTATGAGGTACTGCTCATGTCTCCTCATGGCTGTAGATCTGTGGGTCCCCATTTTCTTGCTTGCCCGAGACTCTCTTCAGCAGTTACAGGAAAATATGATGGCTCATGTAATATATCAACCTGACTTGGTCACGGGGCGGCCATGCATTCAGCCAAACTTATTCCAGGTATGTGCGTGAGGGTGTGTTTGTGGAAGGTTAACAACTTAATTAGTGAAAGGAGAAAAGCAGATTCCACTCTCTAACATGGGTAGGCCTCATCTAGTCAGTTGGAAGTCTGAATAAAACAAATACCCCAGCCTTTGAGCTGGATTAATGTTTTGATTTTATTGTCTGAATATTCAAATTAGAATTATTGGTTACTTTGCTCATTGCTGTAATTAAATGCCGGGCAAAAGACAATGTAACAGAGAGAAAGATTTATTTTGGCTTACAGTCTGGGAGAGCAGAGTGCATCATGTTATAGAAGGTGTGGTGGTTGGAGTCCAATATGTTTGATCACATGGCTCCATAGTCAGGAGGTAGAGAAATGAATGCTGGAGCTCTAATAACTTTATCCTTTTTCAGTCAATCTGAGACCCCAACCCATGGATGGTGCCACCCACATTCAGGTTGGATCTTCCAGCTTCAGTAAACTATTTCTGGAAACTCCCACACAGACATTCCTAGAGATGTGTCTCCCAGGGGAATCTAAATCAAGCCATACTGATAACAAAGATTTACCATCACAGCACAATCGTGCTCCTTAGTTTTCAAGCCTTCCAGATGTTTTTCTGATTCTACATGATCATCTCTCATGGTTCTCAGGCTTGTAGACTCAAGCTGGAAGGATGCCAGGGTCTCTCTGGGTCTCCAGCTTCTGCCTATATATCTGGGGACTAGCTGGCCTCCATAATTCTGTCATAATTGTCTCTGATTCTCTAGTGTGAAATACAAATGTATGCTTTATAACCTTTATCATGGATAGTTCACAGCGAGACTGAGTTTTCAAGGCTGTCATAGTCTCATATAATACAGTCTAATGAAGAGGGTGACCTTCAATGTCTTATCTTTGTTTATAGTTAATGGAAGTTCACCAGTCCCGCCTGCACTAGAAAGAAAGGAATTCTTTCACATGGTTTTACTCACTGGGTGTTTCCCAAGGGTCTCTCTCCCACAGGACATTAAGAAAGGGTCAGCAGCGTTGAGAGAAGCCAAGAGGTCTGGAGAAACACTAGGTTACAGGAAGCCATGGCCACCCCTATCCCTGAAGGAGAAAGGAGACAAGCAGGTCTCAGTAATGTGTGAGACTTGCAGCCACAGCCAAGCGCATCACAGTGAGGTGCACAGCCTGTAGTGAGGTGCATAGCCTATAGTGAGGTCCACAGCCTGCAGTGAGGTGCACAGCTTGTAGTGATGTCCACAGCCTGTAGTAAGGTCCACAGCCTGTAGTGAGGTCCATAGTCTGTAGTGATGTCCACAGCCTGTAGTGAGGACCACAGTCTGTAGTGAGGTCCACAGCCTGTAGTGAGGTGCACAGCCTGTTCACTACAGGCTGTAGTGAGGACCACAGCCTGTAGTGAGGTCCACAGCCTGTAGTGAGGTCCACAGCCTATAGTGAGGTGCACAGCCTATAGTGAGGTGCACAGCCTATAGTGAGGTGCAGAGCCACCATGACCCCCTGGTCTAGCAGGAGTACAATGATGGTAAGTAGCTTTTCTTCCTTCTAACTTTCTGTACACTGTCTGAGCCTCCCATGAGCCAATCTGACAGAAAGACATACAACAAAGGTCTAATAGATGTGATCCACAGACATCAGCCAAGTAGGGCAGAGAACAAGGAAGATACAAGTTAAGAGAGGATTTGGGGACAAATAAGTACTCTGAAAAGGATGTAGCTTTTGACTCTTCCGAGTCTCATTGAGACTAGTAGTGTCTAGGAGAGCAAATGAGAAATCCGTCTTTTATCTATATTCTTTCTTACTTATTATAAGTAGTGTGTATGCAGGTCAGAGGACTACTTACAGGGGTCAGTTCTCTCCTTCCACCATGTGAGCCCTGATCAGACTTAGCATTGAGTGTCTAACTGCTGAGTCATTTCACCAGCCCATATTTTCTCCTTATTCTTTATCAAAAATAAATATTAACCAAAGGATCTACAATGGTGCTCAGAGAACCAAAAAGGCTAAAATTCTGAATCATCTGCAGAGCAGCACAGCTTGGCTTCCTTGTGGATAATCTGAGAGCAGAGTGCATGGCCGCTGTTCTAACTAGAACAGAAGAATCAGCAGCATGCAGCATCCTAAGCATGGAATCTGTTCTAACTAGAACAGAAGAATCAGCAGCATGCAGCATCCTAAGCATGGAATCTGTTCTAACTAGAACAGAAGAATCAGCAGCATGCAGCATCCTAAGCATGGAATCTGTTCTAACTAGAACAGAAGAATCAGCAGCATGCAGCATCCTACCCGCGTGATGACATCAGGAAAATGTGCTTTATGAAAAAAGTGAGCAATTTCCCCTCCCCCAACACAGGGACCCAGTGACACCTGGCAGTCCTTCACATTTGAATTTACAGCATAGTGTCCATTTATAAATGAGTGGGGAGCTATAGAAACAGGGGCATGCTCCTACTGGGGGGTGTTATTTTAGGGAACAGCCTTTCATTAGGCAAATTTACAAAAGTTAAAGCCAGTTGACTACGAGATCAGCATTTCTAGACAGCTGCTCAGGAGAGCATATTACTGGGAGGGGTGTCCTTGGAGAATAGGAGCTAGCTGCCTCTGGAAGGGCTAAGAAATGAGTGAGGACAGGAATTGAAAGGAATTAAGCCACACATTCTTCATTATGTCTGGGTGTTTTCAGAGTATAGGAGAATGGGTTGCAATTATCCCACAGTGAATTTAAAAGTAATATCAGTCTTAATAATACACTCATAGACTTTAAGTACATCACATAATTGAATAATGCTAAAATTATAAGAGATGTAGAAAGCAGGGAAAGATCCTAGAGACAGAAGACCTAGGCAATAATCTATAGCTAATAAAATTTACCTGACTGTGAAAGCTGGTATTGTCTCAAACTTCTATTAACTATTTGTTCATTAGAATAAATTATTCTCCAGCTATGGAAGGTTCATCTGAATTCCAAACTCACATATGATCACTGGGTATGAATTCATAATGATGAGACAGGATATGGATTCACAATGATGAAATAACTCTAAGTCTCTCTTTAAAATACATAAGCTGGAAAATCATTAGCCACAGCATTTCATCCTCTCTGGTCTATCCAAGCATGCACTCAGACAGAAAAAAAAAGGAACTCATTAGGGAATAGGTGTGAGGGAAAGTTTTTAAAAGTTCTCCATATAAAATCTTATTTAATACAAGAGGAAACTTGTTTTTTTTTTTTGAGACTCTTGAGCAGCAGATAAACTATAATGGGAAACTTGTTTTATATTAATAAAATATAGTGGAAAATTTATATTTGTTGAAGGGGACTAAATGATATATATTAGATAAAGAAAGTTTTTCAAAAATTCCTTTCACGTTCACTTTAACAGCGAAGAGGCACTATATAGTTATGTAATAGAACATTAAGGGGATGGTGGCGCACGCCTTTAATCCCAGCACTCGGGAGGCAGAGGCAGGCGGATCTCTGTGAGTTCGAGGCCAGCCTGGGCTACCAAGTGAGTTCCAGGAAAAAGGCGCAAAGCTACACAGAGAAACCCTGTCTCAAAAAAACAAAACAAAACAAAAAAACAAACAAACAAACAAAAAAGAACATTAAGGGGAATTTGGTACTTATCTTTTTAATATGATCATCAATCAAGATACTTCAGGGAATATAGCATTGGAAGTGTACTTTATAGAATAAAATTTATATCAATTTCCTCTAAGAGTAGTTAAATTCTATTATGTAAAGTAGTCATTTTACATTGAATAAGATGGGATTAGAACAAGCACAGTGGGATTTAAAATATCATCCCTCCATGGTTTTCCACTCTCTTTCTACGCGTGTTCCATCTGTGGTCTGTAATCCCGAAACCACATGCAGTGTAGCCAGCCTCTTCCCAACTCGTTCCCTGTCTTCCTCTTTTAACTCTGTTCCCTGGATACAGTGGCACTGTGTGTGGAACCCAGGGGTCCGCTTCCATACATTGCATGTAACTTTGCACAGATAGTTCTCTCTATTTGAAATGCCTTCAGTTTTTCTCAGTCATTTCTCAGTCACTCTTTCCTGTCTTGTGAGCACAGTCTCCCTGTAGACCTGGTCTTGCCCACACCCCACCTCTAGTACACTGGGCCTCCAAAGCTTGCTGCACGTGCATTTATCCTGTCTCTCTCCACTGACAAACTGCAAGACACCCGATTCCTGCTTGGATTTACCTCAGTACCAGCACAGAAACTCAAAACTTCAGTAATTCCTTGTTTAACAAACAGATGGTTAAATCAATGATTGAATACTGGAGTTGATCTATTGAAAATCAATAGTCTATTTCATACACGCAGGAAGAGAATAATGAATTTAAAACTTCCTGTGTCCGTCTATAAATCTATTCCAATATTAAAAGCAAACAACGGGGCTGATACGTCCTTCGATCTCGCGTGTCTACCAGCTCCTGCTGTCCCAGGATCACATTCAAGCCTTACTCTGCAGACAGGTTTGCCAAACCACAAGTTAATTGATAGTGATAGCGCAGGCAGACGATCAGAAAAGACACCAATAGCTCATAAATGTATTCTTGGAGTAAATATGAGAGGAAGAAGCCAAACCCATTGTAAGTCGGATATACCGCAGAATTCAATCTTCCTTTCTTGATTTTTTAGAACCAGCACAAAACGTGATGTAGTGCTTCGTCTGAGCCGGTAGAGGGCAGTCCACACTTCTTTAAGCGAACTGCGTGGGAGCCGCGGGAACTTGGCAACACAGATCCCAGGGTTTTGTTTGTTTGCTTATTATTTTTATTTCTTTAGCACAATCCTAAATCTCTTCAAACATCTCTACTCTTTAATCTATTTTGCTGTTATCATCCTTTCATCAACTTTTACGAGCGATTTCAAACTGAGTATCCTCATGACATGACGTGCAGAGTGGTGGAGGGGCCGGCAGGCCGTGGGGCGGCCAGAGAGAGGAACCCAGGTCTTCGCTGCCGTGCCACCAAGTGCTCAAGCTTTCCAGTCCTCCGTGTTCTCCCCCTTAAAACACAGACAATGGATATTTGCTTCTCTGTTCAAAACAGAAGCACCGGCTTTCACGTTTCTTCGTGTGTGAGCAAACATCGTGTTGCAGACGTCTGTCCAACGCCACATCCTGAAAGGCGTCGTGGCAGACACCAAAAGTACATACCCTGAGCAAACCTTGTCAGGTGAGCAGCACTTTTTCTGCCAGGAGTTTGGAGTGGGCCCAGTCAGAGTGACCTGGAAGAGGCCGGGTGACAAGAAAGGGGCCGGCCTGGTGCAAACCCTCTTGGGCCTTCTGTTAGCTGCGGCTGGAGGATTGACAGGATTAAGTCAGAATGGCTGCCCCGTTGTGAAGCTCAGCAGGGCTCTCAGGCTGGGAAATAAGAGGCATCCACATAGATCCCTTGTTTGCCTCTAAAGGTATCTGCTGCGGTCAGCTCAGGGTTTTTTGAGGAGGCCCGAGTTGCTTCCAGAGGCTGTAACACTACTACAGACCAGCGGACTATAAGGAACAGAAATTTACTTCCCGCAGTCTAGAGACAGAAGTTTTAGTTCAAGGCACTGATGGACTCCTGGTCTATTTATTTTCTGAAAACTTGTGTGTGTGTGTGTGTGTGTGTGTGTGTGTGTGTGTGTGTGTGTGTGTGTGTGTGTGTGAATAGCTGTTTATTATTGCACTTTGTAACACCTTATCAACTGAGCTTGCCTGGGCAATCCCTCAGCTGTAAAATGAACACAGGAGACTGTCATAGACCTTTTATTAGTATCGAGAAAGCCCAGCATGATGACATCTTGAGACCACATAGGAATGAGAAATCTCAGTCCTCATCTTCCATATGCTACTCATGCCCTTTCACATTGTGCATAGTGGTATGTCTTTTACTTCAAAAGAAAATATTTTCTTACAGTCTTTAATGCACTAATGTTAGATGCAAATTAAACATGGTTGGACCTCCTCATATCCACCTGCTCCTGCAGAGGTAAGCAACTTTGGAGTGGAAATATTTGAATGAAAATTGGGGAAAAAAAAGAAAGAAAGAAAAGAAATCGTTTTTGTAGTGAACAGACTTGTTTTCTCTGCTGTCATCCCCGGGGTGGTTTGAATGAAAATGGCCCCCAGATGCTCATAGAGAGTGGCACCATTAGGTGTTGTGGCCTTGTTGGAGAAAGCCTGTCAGTGGGAATAGGCTTTGAGGTTTCAGATGCTCAAGCTAGGCCCAGTGTTTCTCTTCCAGCTGCCTGTCAATCCAGATGTAGAACTCTCAACCCCTTCTCCAGCATCGTGTCTGCTTGTGTGACCCCATGCTTTCCGCCATGACAATAACAGACTAAACCTCTGAATCTGTAAGGCAGCCCCAATTACATGTTTTCCTTCATAAGAGTTGCCTTGGTCATGGTGTCCCTCACAGCAGGAGAAACCCAACTATGACAATCCCCTAAGCACTACACCATCCCAACTACTGACATAGCATTTACATTGTACTCTGGATTATCAGTAATCCAGAGATAATTGAAATAAGGATGTGTATATGGTGAATGCAAATATTATGCCATTTTTATATAGGATGTGAGAATCCTATATAAAATGATGTGTGTCTGCATGGGGGAATTCCAGAGACAGTCCCTTGTGGATTCTGAGGCACAACTGTGCCTTGAAATGTCGAGTCCTGTACAAATCTTACATACTTCATCACTTTAAACATCGGTTGTCGTTTGGTTTCACAATGTTTTTACTTTTGTGATGCCTTAGCTTTACTCTAATATATTCATGCAGTTCTACCTACTATTGAGAATTTGTTTCTGATATTATAAATTGTATTAATAGATTGTCCTAGAATGAATTCCAGTTGATTGGTATGTAATGCTTTAAATGTGTGATGCTGAGTACTGTGAGCTACCATTTCATGTAAGATTTATGCATCAATGGACTTGAGATGCCTCAGCTTTCTCTGTGAGATCAGCTTTATCATTGTCAATATCCATGTTACACTCATCCTGAAATTAATTGGGCACTTTCTTTTCTGCTCTCCATAATTCTTTCAATGGATTTAAATTGGCTGATTTGAAGTGTTGGTAGAGTTTTGTTGGAAATCAGGCTGAGTGTGGTCCTTCTACTCGGGGCTGCTCTTCAACATTCTTTGTTCTATAAAAATGGTTCCTCTGGACTTCCTGAATCTACTGGGATCTTACTTATTCATTCTTCTTGACTGTCATGTTTAATTCCACGTAGTATAGTTTTGTATGCTATATATTATTATATAAATATCTTCTTATTTATGATATTTTTCTTGTTATCATTTCCTTCTATTGTATATTTCTGCTTCTTTGTCTCCTCACCCTCATGTTTAGCTGGGTTTTCTTACCACTTTGTCTTTTGGATGACTTTTTCATATTTTGATTGTCTGTTCTGTCTTTGAGGTCTATTTGATTATTTTTAATTCCTCCATTGCTATTTCATTTTCACTGAATTTTTTAAAAATCAAAAAACAGTTTTATTACATTTAAGTATTTGTGTGCACGTGTGTATGCACATGCCTGTGCCATGGTGCATATAGAGGTCAAAGGGCAACTAGAGGGAGTCAGCTCTTTCCTCCATCATGGAAGTTTTGGCATCTCAACTTCAAGTTATCAGGTTAGTGAGAACAGCCTTCCCCACTTGGTGTCCTTTCTTTTATTTTTGCAGGTTTGGGAGTCATGTTTGTTAACTCTTCTAGCTAATTAATTGATATCTATTTAATGAGAAACTTGACTTGAGCCCCACCTCTGCCGTGAGACTGTGATATGCTGAACTTTTACCTTGGGTTCCAAGAATTGTAATTTTGATTCTCTAATTTCTGTTTTGATTCAAATCTCCAACGTTCCTCCTGAAGGCAGCATGTAAAGTGGTGTTACATCTAATGGTCTTTTCATTCATAGTTTTCTGTCTTTCAGTGTGGCCTGAACTTTGTGTTATTTCTGCATTTCAGAATTTTGACTCTTCTGTTAATGCGTACTGTGTGGTCAAGGTACTCAGAATATTTCATGCTCTCTGGTAGCAACAGTGTGTGTGTGTATTATTGCTGACTGCACAGTATACAGAGATGTACAGTCTGCCCCATTGATGGTTTTCTTAGGTCTTCTCTATTCTAACAATATTTGTGAACTTGATTTGGTTTTAGCTTGTGATATGTATGACAAAGTGTGTAATGATTTGGCGTGGTTTTATCTATTTTTCCTGCATCTCATAAATTTGTAATTTATAAAGAACATCTCTCAGCATTCCTGCATGTCAATACAATAATAATTACTATGTTTCACGAATCATAGTCTTTAGCACTAGGCTTTGTTTCTCTTTTAAGCCATTTGGGGAGTAGTGAGGTCAACAAGATGGCTCAACAGGAAAAGACACTTGCTACCGTGGGGCCACAAGATAGATGGAAAAAATTTAAGCCTGGGGGTTGTCTCTATGTCCTCCACATGAGTGCCATAGTGTACACATTTGAATTCACATTTGCACACAAAATAAATAGATTAAAATATAGTAAGATTTTGGGGTTAAGTCCTCGCCCAACATCAATTATTGAGCTATTCACTTTGCTCCTCTGCCTTCTTTTGTTTTCTTTTCTCTTATATTTACTTTTTTTAAAAAATGCTCTCAGTTTCTTTGTTTCATGTATAGCCTTGTAGACAGTACAAATTTGAATTCTGTTATGTTTTTTTAATCTGAAGAAATTAAAGACTGAATTCCATATATTTATACTTATTTTTAAACTAGTATTTTTGTTGTCAATTCCAAGGTGTTTATTTCCTTTTTTTCTTTTCAGAAGATATATTTCAATTTGTTAAGTTTCACATTGCAGTTCTAAGATCTAACTTTATTATTTCCTTTTAAAATTAGTTATAGTCTAATTTGAAGTTGATGACTATTGGCTTTCTACTACGAGCAAAAGTGAAATGACAAAGTAACTTCTTGTTCACCTCTTTCCTTTACTCCAGCATATAACTTAAGGTAATGGCCATTTGGACTGAGATCCCACTAACTCAGCAATAGTGCGCATAGACTACTTTTCACATTCTCTCTACTTTTTGCTTTATTTTGAGTCTTAAACTTTGTATTTCCAGACAATGTAAAAACTACAAACTAATCTATCTAGTCCATTTGATGTTTACTTAATTTAAACATTAAACAATATCAAATATGTGAGCCATTTCTTAGGTATCTGAATCTCATCTTGCAGTGTATATAATACTCTCTCTGGAATAAAGTCAATTTTTAGGGTAAACTATAGGATGGAAGGAGACCCCCATTTGGTTCCTGGTGACACATAGCAGTTTCTCCAGGTAGGCATCAAACTGATGAGGACTACACACTGAGATCATGTCCAATGGCTTATAGACACTTTCAAGAGTATTCTAAGTAGCGGTGATCACCATGGAGACATAGTGGTTGTGTTAGGTAGAAGCATGGCATCCTATGTGACTGATTAAAAGCCAACATGCAGTTTTTTCCAGTTGGTAGTTGGAAGCTTTGGGAGTGAGGGAAACTGTCAGGCATCAGTTAGGTATTATGTAATTGTCACATGAGTTCTTGTTTGGTTTCCTAGTTTTGTTGCTAAACAGTGCTTTGTCTGCATGGACTGAGTGATACACAAAGTAGAGTGGCTGCTTGAGCTGGTTGCTGTGCTATGGATCAAAATTCTGTTTTCACACATGCTTGGTCAACACTTCTTTTGTACACGTTGTTTCTTACAATAGGAGAAATAAACTCTCATGCCAAGAAAATGTCTTTGGTCTTTGACTGCTGGATCTCTGCTTGCTTCCTTTGTAACTTTGGGTGAGTTACTTACTTACTCTCTTATCCAAGAAAAACAAAAGGCAGAATTTATCAAGAAAACAGTATTTGTCCTCTTATTGTGAGAACGTGGATTGATGAGCTAGTATGACTCTGAAGAGGTGAATACAGGGAGTGATAAAGAATACACAGTCCCCACAGATGATCTTACCTGTCCACCAAACTCAGGTGAGTCGAGACTCTGTCAAGTTGACAGTTAACACTAAATACCACAGTTGCTCTTTACATGGCTGTGACATATGTCTGACAGAAACAGATGAAAAGAAGGAAGTTCATTTGGCTTTTGATTTCAGAGGGCTGTCAGGCTGTCACAGTGGGGCAGGCATGGTGGCCCAATGCTGGGGCAGCAGGAGTGTGGAGTGGAGGCAGCTAAGGCTGGAACCAAAAAGATCTAAACTTCTCAGACCAATCCCTAATGACATATTTCTACCCAGGAGTCACAAAGGTTATACAAGCTCCAAGAACTGTGACACCTTCTGGGACCAGGCGCTCAAACATGTGAGCCTATGAAGGACATTTTACACTGAAACTAAAGGGGTGATGTTTGTAGTTCATGTAAATATCTGGCAGGTGTCTTGCTGAGGAACAAATTGGTTAAAAAACTGCTGATCCAGTGAATCTGTCAGGCTTAGTCTACGTTAACCATGAGAGGAACCAATACTGAGCTGCACTCTACCAAACTCAGTCTGTGCAGGACTATCCCTGGCATTTATGAGAGGGAGACAGAAAGCTAACCTGGTTCTAAGAGCTTTGTGGGGTCAACTGGCAGGTCCATGTTGACCAGAGACCAAGTTCAAATAATAATGTTGTTTGGTCCATCTGCTCTTCCCGGTTTTCCAGTATGTCTGATTTTTATCCCTTTTTCGTTCTTGGGTGCTTGATTGCCCTCATGTGGCCACTACCCTGGCTAAAAGTTAAATTATCATTAATGTTTATTTCTGAACAAATTATGAGGTGAAACGCAATAGGCTGTGTTCTTCAATCTGTTGGAATAACAGATAACCATCTATCCTTTTTAGTGTTTTTTGTCAGAAATCACTATGAACTTCCTATGCCTTACTTAGTTTTTCAATCTCATTTATATAACTCCGTATATACAATGCTTAATCAGTAAACATTTTTCCTAGCTATTACCAAACACTCATCCAGGTTCAGGGAAGCCAATAAGTAAAGGTGATAAATTAATAACTCTCATTGGAGCCCACACCCCAACACTCGAGGTTGGGCTCAAACATCCAGTGATCCAAAGGTTATCAATGATCCAGAGTTATCAACCGATAACTCTGAGGATAAAGAGGCACAGCCTATGATTAAGGGAGGAGCGTCCATGAAGTATCATGGAAGACTCTTTGGATAAGTTGATATTTAAGTAGAGATGTAGAAGAAGGAAAGAAAAGAACAATAAAGGTAAAATTGTTTCTTGTTAGAAAGGGAAAATGCAGCCGGGCGGTGGTGGCACACGCCTTTAATCCCAGCACTCGGGAGGCAGAGGCAGGCGGATCTCTGTGAGTTCTAGGCCAG